AGGAGTGTGCCACCATGCCCAGCAAGCAGCTGGCATTTAGTCTGTTTTGCTTGAGACAGAGTACTGCCTATGTAGTGCACACTAGCTTTGGACTGGACCAGCTTGCAGTCCTTCTGCCTCAGTCTCCCCAGTGCTGGGATTACAGGTGTGTACCGCTGTGTCCAGCTCACACTTTTGTACTGACTATCTGACTCTCAAAGGGGGAAGTAGAAAAATGAAAGGGGTGCGTAAGACACCAGCCTACGTCCCCGCAGCTGGAGTGAGAGGGCCTGCGACTGTGAGCTCAGAGTGGCCGTGGTCACGCCTCTCTCTGCACCGCTGTGGTCAGATCCAGCAATCAGCTGTCAAATCAAAGATACCCCAATATTCCCTCAATCTGGGGGACCTCACAGGTCAGCGCAGGCTACACACAGGCAGGACAAGGAGCTGCACTTAATTCTTTTTTTGTCTGTTTGAGGTAGGATCTCACTATGCAGTTCAGGCTGGCCTTGAGCTTACTTTGTGGCCCAGGCTGCTCAGGAACTCCTGATAATTCTCCTGCCTCAGCCTACTGAGTGCTGGGATTACAGTCCTACACCACCACGCCCAGGTCAGAGCTACATTTGAATCCAGGGCAGGGTGGGGTGGAGGTCTGTGAGCAAGCACTGTGCAGCAGGTGAGACCCAGGTTCCACCCTTGTGCACACACACACACACACACACACACACACACAAACAGGTCCATTATACAAAAGTCTTCCACAGAACAAGACTCAAAAGATAAAACGAGATGTTCCTAGCCTCCCGAGGCCGTCTTGCAGTGACCCCGGCCCGGAGTGCGAGCTCACCGGCCGCGCAGCTCCCAACTAAGAGCAGTCTGCTCTCTGAACTCGCGGAGGCCCAGGCAGCCTTGGCCTGAAACTGTAAGTGGCCCGCCCAGCCCTCCTCGGCCGGCCCCCGCCCCGAGGCCACGTGGGGCTTCCCTAAGAAACACTGCACGGCGAAAGGCAGGCACGCACGGGCTGCCGCTGCCGGGCGGGCTCTCCTACATCACCTTTGGGTGATGTAGCTCAGCCTCCCCCCGTGGTACTCAGCTCCCCGCCTCCTACATGTTGGCACTCCCCCAGGATCTGCGTGCAACGGACACCTCCCTCGGCATGAAAAGTGGGATGAAGACAGAGGGCCTCTCGAGAACCACGGGGCCACCAAGGAGGACTCGTCTCTTCCTCATCTCTACCCAGCGCACAGCAGGTTCACATCCATTGGAGAGCCGCAAAATCCGGGATCTGCTGGGCACTAGCGAAGGCTGATGCCCGGCACGGTGTGCAAGATCCCCACCTGCTGGTCACTCCAAGAACTGCAGACACCCAAGCGGGCTTAAGAGGGGTCTAAAAACATCAAAGTTTGGTTTTCCTGGCGGCCATAGAGCACCAAGAGTATTTCACTGGATATCGATTGCCTTTGTAGTCAGATGGATGAATAACACACTTGATTCTAACATACTAAACGTCCTTGCCAGGCATGGGGATACACACCTGTAATCCCAGCACCTGGAGGCTGTGGCAGGAGGATCTACGCAGGTTTGAGGCCAGCCTAGGTTACTCAGTGAGCTCAAGATTAGCCTGGACTCTTCCGCCACAGCGACCATTGAAGAAGAGTAGCCCTGGCCCTCCGCTA